AGAGTTTCCAGGAAGCTCTAATGGAGCTACTGTTGTGCAAGTGTTTTAAAAGCGTTTTAAAAGAATATAGGGGATGGTGTCAGTTTGATTTTGGATAGAATATTTGCCAGGGCAATATCAATAGAAAACTAAGGGAAGAAACATAGCTAATGTCACTCATTCTTGTTTTATGGAAGATAAAATGCAAACCAACTTAAATTTTTTTGAGCAGTACTGAAGGTACTCTATTTATTAATAGCAGTTTTGATGCTGGCAGAGTGGAGATTTGCAAGTTAGTAGAGTTTTACAGAAATATATTTTTACTACAAAATTAGATAAATATGGAATTAACTGTTCTGCCAAGTAATTCCAGCTGAATATTTGTCAGCTTTGTGGTGTATTCCTTACCAATGTACAATTAAAATAGGTTATTTTCATTTTAATTTTCTATCTCAAAAGGAGTTAAGTGTTATGTAGGACCCTGAACTCAGTGCAAAGGTCAGACCTTACCTGTTTGGCACTTAGGGCAGAATGTTCCAGAGAAAGCTGAGGTGCCCAAGTCAAAGAGAGCAGTCCAGCAAAAGCTGAATGTGTTAAATAATGACCTATTTCTAGAGTGATATGCCTTCCTGGTTTTAACTGTCCAAAAATTTTCCAGGTTTCTGACTGCACAGTGATCCAGTTTCAACAGGGAATGGAGTCCAACAAAACTCTTACTCTGTGGTGTTCTCCAGCCACTGAACTGTATCAGACTTGCCCACACCCAGGGAGGGCTCAGGGCTCTGGATCATTTATGGATGAAGGTGCCAGTGAAAGGAAATAGACGTAAAATTTTATTTAAAATATTTTCTGTTTGCTCACTGTAGACAATATTTCAAACAGAAGGAGAGAATGACCGTATTTCAGTTTGGGGATTAAATGAACTGACACTTGGATAATTTCACTGAAACACCAGTTCTTACAGAAATATAAAATGCATTTGGATGCTTCCAAGTCAGAGGTGCTTTGGTAACTCCAGAGTCTGTAAACTACCTCAAAATGGCTGCTCTTTCTGTTCTGGTAGTAGAATTCATACATTATGTGAAAAAATTGAATGTGAACGTGGGCTGGGGGTGTCTCCTTAATGAGGTGCTTGTAACAGCCTGAATATTTGTTCCTGATATATCAGACTGAAGTGAAGTGTCTCTTACTGCCAGGACTCTCAGATTACAGATCTGGTAACTGAGTTCCTGTGCTGTGCTTAATAGCTGCTTGTTCTTTTGAAGACTTTCTTCACATCCCCTGGAAGTTTCTGCAATGGTCCTTGATGCATTGTTAGAAGGCTTTGGAAGTCCAGCTGTATGAAATGATCTCTTTGCACGTTGCTCAAAGTTCACATTTGTGAGATATGACATCCCTCTGCCCACACTGATTCTCCCACCGTATGTCACACTTATCCCTGTGTCCATTTATAATTCCTACCAGACAGTGGTAGAAACACTGGGTTAGCTTTTTTATTTTAAGTTCCAGAAAGCCTTTTAAAAGTTGAGACTATGTATGTTATTTCTCATTCATATGGAAATGACACCTGGCACTCATCCTTGAGCTCCTTAAGCCCTCTCAAATTATTAGCATTGGCTTTTGGTAGTTTGCTGCTATTCCTTCTGTTGATTCCTCTCTAGAATATTTTGTTGACACTGCATTTTCAATAATTTCTCTGGTATTTGCCCTCTGCTGGGGAATGTTAGGTTTGCTATCTCATGAAATAGCCGTAAGAAATATAGAAGCAAAGAATGAGTTTACATATTGTCATTTCTTTATTCCAACTGACCTTCTTAATCTCAGTGTCAGACTTCTTACTGTGCATTTATTATTCCTTGTGCCTTTCATGAGGAATTAAATCCTCTTTAGCATACTTCTAATGTTTTAGTTTCTTTTATATTTTCAGCTTTTTCAAGGCTATCTTTGATCAGCTGCTTTTACTGCCTTTTTAATTCAGACTTCTCTTTGTGTAATCTTTCTAAAATCTTCCTTGAACAGGTTCTCTGGTGTCCAAGAAAAATTTGGTGGCTCCATTCAAACATACTTATAGTTACCTCCTTGAATTAATTTTATTTTCCCATTTTGCAACTAGGCATTACTATAGTAGATGGTTTGACTAACAACTGTCATATTTTTAGAGTTTCTGATATTATTCTGATTTTATTATTATTATTCTGATACTATGCTATGTCAGCACCCTCATTAAAAACATTCTCAAGTACTTTGAAATTATGTCCTACAGTGGTTTTTATCTGCAAGTTATCCATTTTATTGAGATGGGGTTAATGTATTTATTATCATTAATGAACACTCACTGGAGTTATGTTGAAGCAATCTGTGTTCTGATAGTTGTATTCATAGCTGCTAGCAAATATTTTCTTTCTGCTAGATAAATGCTTTGGCAGCAACTGATTTTTCAAAAAGAAAAAAATCAGAAGTGCTTGAAAAACACCCTCTAAATAGTAGAAGTGTGTAACTAGAATATATCCACCATCTATACTTCATCAGTATTTTACTTAACTAAAAGATTCTCCTTTTTATCCTACTCACATTCTATGTTCCTCTGAGAATGAATTTTTACTTGTTACAGAAAAAAACATATTGTAGCTTTTGCAGAAAAGGAAAAATCCATCAGCATCCCCAGATGATCCCTCTATCAGTTCAGATTCTTCATGTGTAGGTGCACAAGACTGTGCTAAGACTACTGTCCAAGCAGACTTAGAGGTAGTTTTAAGATAGGAAGCTGAACACACGATTGCAAAATTAGTTAATTAATAAACCACAGGATTACAGAAAATTATTTTCTTTAGCTGACTTGTAGTTTTGTTGTTAGCTTCTATCCAGGATAAGAAACTCTGATTATTACAACTGCCATAAAACAATCCTAGCTGAGCTCTTTAGTTGCTAGAGAGGAGTTGAGGAGATGGATGGATTAAGGATGGTGAGACTATGGGTATATTAACTGTAATTATTTTAAAACAGAGAAATGCTGGGATCTTACATGTGGCTTGTGTGGCATCAGTCTTCTGGGATGATGCACTGCTATTGACTGCAAGAGTTCACTGCTCTCTCTGGCAGAGTTCAGGTAAGCACCTGACGACACTATTTACAAATCAAGGAGGATTCACAATTGCTTTTAGTTCCCAGCATCTAGATTTATCCTATTTGAACTACATCTTTTCTCTTAGCTGCATCATCCAGTCCTGGTTAAAGCAAATCCTACAATCTGTGACACTTATATTGAATCTGATCCTGGAGGATGGCAGCTGGTCTCTCTCATTTAGCAACTGTTCACTTGGAGATATTAAGCAGCTTCCATCTGCCTGGAAGTGTCTACTGGAAACCCAGTTCAGACAAGGGTTTAGAAAAGCTCTCTTAATGGGCCACTTAAATTCAAAGTCTTCAGCATCTGTGTGGAAAAGCCTACCAATCCACAAAAGCATTTTGAAACCAGACTTGTTAAGGAAACTGCAGAACATGTAACATAATGAGTGGACACAACCAGGTTAATGCATATGTAATTAAATATTGGCCTAATTTGGTAATACTGTACAGGGGACAGTGTTCCTAAAGGTCAGCTTCCTGTGTGACATTAACTCCGTTCAGGGCATGTTTGGTATTATTACAATTATTACCTTGCAGAGACACAATTCTCAGGTTTTTTGAATAGTATCAACTTCTACAAGATAAAGAGACAAGATCAAGTATTTTAAGGTACTTTTATTTAATAAATAACTTCAGTAATAGCACTGTAAAAAGTGAACATCTGTTAAAATAAAAAGGCACTTAAAACAAGAATATGACTATGATGCAGTTTGAATGGTCAGAGGCAAATATACATGGCACATGTCAAGAATGATGAGTGACTTGTCACATGACAAACTATGCAATCTTAGCTACGGGGAAAAGGCAAATTTACAGCTAAGACTGCTCAAAAAAAAAAAAAAAAAAAAAAAAAAAAGAGATAAAAAAAAAAAAAAAAAAAAAAAAAAAAAAAAAAAAAAAAATTA